GTTGAGGGAGTACTTGAGGAAGGTCCCACTGTCCATCTGTTTCCTCAATACTAAACCTATAAATATATGTGCATAGATCTATTTCCCCCTCGTCGTACATAAATATATTTACATCAGATTTGTTCTTAATTTCTGTGTGTTGCTCCTCTATCTTGCTGCAAAAACCCCATACCACTATCTCGATTCTCCAAGTCTTGAGCATTACCTTTTGAGAAATGCCTCTCAAATCTCTATCGCTGAAGTTTAGCTATGTTTAAAATTTATTTATTTAACTCTGCCGAACATAAAATTCTCTGTCTATAAACCAAGAATTCTTCCTCATTTTATTTCTATTTGAAGCAATTTCAATCCTATGAACACATCTAAAGTAGAAAGCATTCTTTGACATTCCTACCTTGTATTCCGTTTCCAGACCATACTGAGGTTACCTCTTCGATTCCTCTAGCATCATCCATCACATTCTGTCTGTTAAGTCCATTTGTTCTCTCACCAACACTTTCGCATGACCTGCCACACCCGCCCTCAAGACTACCACCTACCCATCCCACAACAGAAATATGGACTTCAACTCATTCTGTGCATAGCTTTATCAAGTCTGGGTATTCTTACTTCAAATGCTGGGACCTCTTACATTCTCAATAGTTTTTCAATGAGTCCACCTTGTCTATAAGACTGAGACACTTTCAGAATTAGCAATCTACATTCCATGAATTCAGACCCAACATTCTCTCATTGCTCTTTCACTCTGCATTCCTTGGCTTATTCCCTTTACAAAGGAGTTGCTTCATAGATGTGAAATAAATTCAGCAAGTAAAGGTAAGACTGAATGGTAACAATCACCCCCAACAAAATGTCATGCAATTTAGTGTATGAATGAAATCTTAATATGGTTCTTTCATTCAGTTCTCATATTCCTTTCTAACTATATTATTAAAATATAACATATAGCATAAAATAAAGAGCACATGCATTAAAAACAGACTAGAGACCAAATTAAGGCAGTGAATTCACTTTCCCCACTGATGTTCTGGATGCAATCTAGTTGACAAGTGGGACGGGTCCACATCTCTTTCTTGTTTTTTTACTTTGAAAATGAGACACACTTACTATTAAGATGACAGCATAAGGGAGATGTGTATTTAATCTGCCTTTTTGGGTGTGTCCATATGGATTTTTTTTTAGCATTCATCAGAACTCCTTTCCAAATAACATGTTGGTAACTCTAGTTCTCATCATTCCTAAAATATCTAATTTCTGTCTCCTTGTAATTTCACAGCAATCTGTGTTGCATTTATGACTTTTATCTTACTCTTTTTCTGTATGTTTACTATTGGAACATTTGACAAAACTAGACTATTTTTGAAAAGGATGGCAGATATGTGATAAGAAAAAGTGGAACATGACAAAACTCTACAATGAAAAGTTATTCATTCTTTCTTCTACTCCAGGTTCCCTATAGCTCAGTCTTTCACTCCAAATGTAGTCACTCTCAGCAATTTCTTCTGTAGCCCTACAGAAATAATTTATGTATAGATAACATATTCGTATGCTTGTATTAATATATACATATATATACATGAATCTAAAGTCATAGATGCTTAGGAACAGCTGGATTTCTTTTTGTCTATTTGTTTGAAACAAACTTGTATGTCACTAAAGACTGCAAATCC